GCCCCCAGTCTTAGTTTATGTAAAGGAGAAGTTACGTTCATCTGTTGGTCATTGACTTTTATGAGTTTGTGGCTCCTAAAGGAGCCCTTTTTTTTGTGGATGTCTATCTTTATTAAGCTTTACTCAATTTAAATTACATGGGTTGTACGAGGTGAGCACAGGCCTCCAGAAGCTCCTTTGAATTCCTTAGGCCGTCTTCGTATTGACTCCAGAGGTCAAAGAGTCTTCTCTGCATGGTCCGGTAGCTTGACCGCTGATGTCTCTTCAGCTTTTTGTCTGAAACCAGACGAATCTGCATGCTGACCAGTGTAGCTTCCCGGTGAAGTACCTGGATCAGGATTTACAGGGGCAGCTGTGATCGTCCTTTGGCGCGCCGGTTCAGTCCATTTTGCCAACCCTCTAGGTCGTTATTCGTTCTAACCGCTTCTAGGAACACGCTCCAGTTCTGTGGCGGGAAGGTCTGACTGATTATCCAGTTTTCATCTATGTAATTGCAGAAATCCTGCAAGGGTTTGACAGTTGCTTGCTGCTGGAGTCGACGGAATCTGCGTTCGACGGAATCTGCGTTCGATCTTGTCAGACATTGCGCGTGGGTTTGAAATAAACAATGAAACACCAATTAGTAAAAGTTCGCGCATTGTGCTTGGCTTTGAAATAAACAACAATGAATAAATTTCGCACCTTGCGCATAGGTTTGAAATAAGCAAACAACAATGAGTAAACGTTTGCACATTGCGCGTGGGTTTTCAGTAAACAAATAAATAAAAATTAGTAAAAGTTCTCACAATTCGCGTGGCGAGTTTGAAATAAACACCGATTGACATTAACAAGTAGTCGCCAATAAGTTAAAGTTTCGAAGTTTCGTCCCTGGTTTCTTTCCTTTGCTATTTAAACAACATGACGGAGAAACATTCGTAAAGTATGTAAACAGAAAGAACACAGTTCATTTTTGTAGAATATATAAACAGAAAGAACACAGTTCACTTTATAATTCGATACGCACGGCAGAGAAACGTTCATAACAAGCAAACAACAAGACAGCAAGAACGTAGTTTACTTTATAATTTAACACGCATGGCAGAGAAATGTTCGTAAAAAGCAAATAACAAGAACATTGTTTATTTCATAATGTATGATAGGGAAACGTTCGTAAAAAGTAAAGGGCAAGAACATAGTTTATTTCAAGGTCGGTGGGTTGGGGGCTTGTCCAGAGACTGGGGGCTAATCGTCCAAATACTGGGGGCTAATCGTCCAGAGACTGGGGGCTAGTCGTCTGGGGCTAATTGTCCCAACATGATCTCGAGACCGAAATTACGATTATCGTTATTTCTAAATTGGCACCAAATTTATGGATATAGTAATTTCGTGGCACTCTTTACCAATGCTCTTTACACGTGTTAAATAAAGAGAAGGACTCGGTTCCACTGTCTTACAACATTCAAGATGGCGGAGGAAAGGGGTAAATGTGCGTTCAGTTGTGATCAGCATGATCTCGACACCAAAATAACGATTACCGTTATTTCTAAATTGGCCCTGAAATAACGAATATTATAATTTCAGTGCATGTCTGAGACCTTCGGGCTCGAAGCTTGGGAACTAGTATTCAGGGAAAGATAAAATGGCAGCTTACGGCGGCGAAGGAAATCTCAGTATTTTAATATTTAGCGTGAAAAGGCTTGGGTGTTGTGATCTGGTTCTCAAGTAAAAAAAAAAATCACGGTCTGCAATGGCCCTACCACCTTTTGAACAACAAGAAAACATTGAAACGGTGGTAAAAAGCAGCAAGTTTCGAAGTCTAAACGAAAGATGGGTAAGCTGAGTTTCAGTCAAATATCATGACATTTGGGATGTAATTTCGATACCGAATAAATAGTTCTACATGGTTACACACGCATAGGATTCTGTTGTGTTCACGTGAAGGCCATTTCAGCCATTCCTGCCACTTGTAAGTGGTAGGAAATAAAAGATATGTATAGTTGTTTCGTATTGAAGCCCTGTGAAATCACAAATTTGATTTATTTCTTCTTTGTTTTAGGTGGTCATTATCCATTACTTTTGGAAGTCGATGCTGATGAGAAAGAAAAAATGTTTATGATTATTTCTTCTCTCGAACATTTTACTATTTAGGTACCAAATAATCTTGATACTGAAGATCATTGCATCCATTATGAAAAAATTACCCTTGATTGCTTTGTCAACTGGAATGTATAATGTAATATACCTTGTGATTTGTGGGATTTTCACAAGTAAACTAGAAATACTTGAAGAGGGTAATGATGTACTTAATGCAGAGCATTTGGTACAAAGTCTGCTTTGCTGTAATCTACCTGAAGGTGCTTTTTATATGCTAGTAAGACTTGCACAGCCCAGTCAAAATGTTTTTGAGTAGTAGAAAAGCTGGCCAAACCTCTTCCTGAAAAGCAGTCTGAAAAATGTGAAGTTAGCGGAAGGTACTTCATTGTAGGCGGCCAAATTGTAAGCTGCCAACCCATTTTGAGTGAGCAGTAAAACTCAAGATTGGCTATTTTAGCTAATTTTATTGAGAACCAAATTCCCAGCAACGGGCACAATTTTACTGGGCTATTTGTTATTTAACTACTTAGTAATATTCTTATTAAAATTTACTGCATTTTTTTCTTATAATTTTCTGTTGATTGTATGCTGTATATAGCTTATGATTTGTGTGATTTTCACAAGTAAATTAGAAATACCTGAAGATGGTAATGATGTACTAGATAATGTACTTGATGCAAAGCTATTTTGGTGCAAAGTGTGTGCCTTGTCTGTAGGTGATTTTGCATGCTAATAAGACTTGTAATTCAAATAATACACATCAGCTGGAGTGGGAATATTAAAAGAAAAATAATAATATTTAGCTATACCAAGTTCTGGTTTTATGTCCAAAGTGTGTGCCTTGTCCATAGGTGATTTTGCATGCTAATAAGACTTGTAATTCAAATAATACACATCAGCTGGAGTGGGAATATTAAAAGAAAAATAATAATATTTAGCTATACCAAGTTCTAGTTTTATGTCCAAATTAAGCACTTAGTTGAAGATCACTGCACTGCTCAGGTCCAGAAGGCTGAAAGAGTACTGTCTGCTGTTAGTTTGATTTTTGTCATTTCTATTGATTTATTTTATTTATCAATGTTTCTTTGAATTGTAATTCATTGATCTCTTTCAATAGTGCAGGTTCGCTCATGTAACCTAATCTCCCACTTATGTATGTATGTATGGATGAGCTCAGTCAAAATGTTTTTGAGTGGAAGGCAAGCTGGTGATAGTAATAGGCAGCAGAGGCTGAACCTTGTCTTGAATGGAAGTGTGAAAAGTGTGAAGTTAGCAGCAGCTATATTGTGGCAGGCAGCCAAATTGTCAGCTGTGGCACATTTTGACTGGGCTGATTGTGTGTAGTATATATGTGCACTTCTTTTAGGGTGTTAAACAGGTTAAAGTACCAAGAAATCCTCTGTGATAACTTGATAATTCAAGATGTAAAAATTTTAAATAATAAGGTAAAGCTTGATCATTCTTAAGAGTTTCCATTTGTTCTGGAAATTTGGGGGAGGGTCAGGGGAGCATTATTTATACATAAATAATGTACATAAAAAGTTAAAAAAAAGGACCAAGGTAAAATCCCAATTTGTTTTAAGAGTTAATTTTATTAAGAGAAAACCCTGGATATAGCTTGGGATTTGTGTGATTTTCAAAAATTGTTAAGAATCTTGTTAATTTTCAGCTTCAAGAACACAAGTACATAATCTTTCGTGCAGCCCTCTTTTCTCCCCGCCATTATTCTAATTTTTTTATCAAGTTTCCTTTTTCTTGTGTTCAATTAATTTATTGTCTTTACAGGTGAAATTTTAATATCTGCTAGCACAATTATCTCTGCTAAGAGTGTCTAACATCACTCTTGCCGGTCTCAAGCCCAAAACGCTGCAAACTAGCTGAAACTACATGTATTTCGTAAAATTGCAATGAAATCTATCTAAAAACACCAAAATCCGGCAGAACGAACGAGTTTTTGCCAAATTTTACGCAAAAGTTGACAAAAGCGCTCAATTCGACCCGAAAAACACTTTTTTTTTTTTTTTTGCAAAAATCAGCCTATTTTACATTCAAAAGCACGATGTCTTTAACAAAATAGGGATACAATCCATGTGAAAACACTTATTCCAGCTAAAACGCAGTGTTCTCAGTAAAATTTGGGGAAAAAACACAAAAAACCGTCAGAAACACGACAAATTGGGCTGATTTTACCCACTTTTTGTGTAAATAGCTGCCAAAACCCTCTAAACTAGCTGGAACTACATGTTTTTCACAAGATCGCCATAAAATCTTGAAACGTTGCTTTAGGGACCTTTATGCCTCCAAAACGAGTTTTTACTTTAAAAAAAAATGGAATGAACAAAGATGTTAAAGGGGAAAAAGCTGTGAGAAAGGAGAAGTTTAGTGTTGCTGTTTGATATGCCGCCCAGATATATCAATTTATTAATTTAACGCCTTTAGCCGTGGGCAGAAGTTTTTCTCTATACTAAGCACAGGACGAAATTGCAAGAATCCGTAAACGGAAACGTGGCGGAAAAATGCAACTCCATGTTTCCGTTATGTTTACGTAAAAGTGGTCCTACACCGGAAACGCAAACATGTATTACTTATACACACCCCAAACAACATGGCGGTTCGGTAAGTAAAAGACTGTTTAATGAAGCCTCATGCGTGCGCATGAGCAAACCATATTTAACCCTTTAGTAAACGGAAACAAGAATGGCGGAAAAATGCAACTCCATGTTTCCGTTATGGTAACACACAACATACAACACACTGGAAAACCATAACATTCCTCCACACATTAAACGATCTGTCCCTAGTTTTCAAAACAAGCCCTAAAATACAATTTCAAGGAAAACATAAAATAAACCAACAGTGTCCGGTAACCACAGTTCGAAAGGTAAGAACGACCTTTAAACAAGGAAACGAACAGAATAAAACAAAGTTCAGAGATCAAGCCTCTGTGGTGCCCTGCGAACTCTCTGAGGGTGTTGTCGCATTTTGACCATCGGACTAACTGTAGCTGGTTTAGCATCAGGAGGGTCAGGTACCGTAGGTGTGGAAACAGGAACCATCTTTGGTTGATCTTTTTTGGAACCTCCTGGAGCTGTGCCGCCCTCAGTGGTTGGAGTACTTGATGTAATTGGGGTCAGTGGTGTGTTGGCCACTTCAGGTTGGCTGACTTCAACACTACAGTCGGCGTCAGTGCTTTCAACTGTGTGTCCAACTGCCGTTGGTCTCAACTGATCAATATGTCGGCGCCAGATCAGTCCCGGTGCCACCTGTACCTCATACATCAGCGGACCTGTTTTGTTAACAATCAGCCCTGGACGCCACTTCAGATCCCCTCGATAATCCCGTGACATAACTGAGTCACCAATCTCTAACTGGCGATACTGTTTACCCTTGTCAATCGCTGCCTTAATGCTCTGCTGGTGTTGTTGGTTAACCATCTTACGGTTTAAGTTAGGTTTCACCAAATCTAGGAGAGTACGCAATGGTCTTCCCAGGAGTAACTGTGCTGGGCTCTCACCGGTGGTGGAGTGTGGAGTGTTCCTGTAAGCTATGAGAAACTTCGCCAACTTCTCCCTCACTGGCTTGGGGCTTTGACGCATGGAACGCAAAGCCTGTTTGAAGGTTTGTACTGTCCTTTCCGCAAGACCATTCGTCGCTGGATGGTACGGTGCTGAAGTTATATGGCGGATGCCATTGGACTTGACAAATGTCTGGAATTCCTCAGAAACAAACTGTGTACCATTGTCACTGACTATCTGTTCTGGAATTCCAAATCTGGCGAACAAATCGCGTAGAATTTCGATAGTCGAACTTGAAGAAGTTGACTTGACTGGAACCACTTCTGGCCACTTGGTGTGTGCGTCGACAACCACTAAGAACATCGAGTTCTGAAATGGCCCTGCGTAGTCGATGTGTATACGCTGCCATGGTGTAGTGGCCCACTCCCACGGATGTAGTGGTGTTTTAGCAGGCATCTTCTGGTTTTGCTGACACCCGCTGCAGCCTTTCGCTAGCTCTTCCAGATGACCATTGATATTAGGCCACCATACGTAGCTCCTCGCGAGTGCTTTCATTTTGACCATGCCCAGATGCCCATCATGAAGTTCCTCTAACACTCTGCTTTGTAACTTATTGGGAACTACCACTCTCATTCCCCATAGGATGCAGCCTTGGTGAACTGTCAGTTCATTGCGTCGCTCGTAATAAGGCTTGTCTCCCTCCACACGAGTAGACCATCCTTTCACGATAGAATCATGTATCCTCGCTAGGACAACGTCACGACGTGTTTCTCTTGCCACTGCTTCACTGGTTATAGGTAATGGCACAAACTGAGAGGCGTGGAACACCTCTGTTGAATCCACCTCCAAGTCTTCTCGCTCTTTCTGCTGGAGAGGGAGCCGCGACAGTCCATCGGCATTGCAGTGTTTGGTTGTACTCTTATACTCAATGATATAGTCGAACCCAGACAAGAACAATGCATATCGCTGAAGCCTTGCAGCAGTCATGGCTGGAACTCCCTTTTCTGGGTGGAAGATGGCAGTGAGGGGCTTGTGGTCTGTAATGAGCGTAAATCGTCTCCCATAGAGGTAAACATGAAATCGTTTCACCCCCCACACAATGGACAATGCCTCCTTGTCTATCTGTGCATACCGTCGTTCAGTCTTGGTCAACGATCGGGACGCAAAAGCTACCGGCCTTTCGCTACCATCGGACATGACGTGTGAAAGAACCGCGCCGATGCCAGTTGGTGAAGCATCACATGCCAGCCTAACCGGTAATGCTGGGTCATAGTGCGTTAGCACCTGCTCAGATGTAATCATACGCTTAGCCTCAGTGAACGCTCGCTCGCACCGTTCAGTCCACTGCCATTCGTTGTTTTGCTCTAACAACTGGTGAAGTGGGTGGAGAACTGTAGACGCATTGGGCAAGAAACGGTTGTAATAGTTTACGAGCCCTAAAAATGAGCGAAGCTGTGACACATTCTCAGGTCTTGGTGCACTGACCACTGCTTCAATCTTCTCTTGTGTCTTGTGTAGACCTTCCTTATCGATCTCATGCCCACAAAACTGAACTCTATCTTTGAAGAACTCGCACTTCTCCTTGTTAGCCTTCAGACCCGCATCTTGTAATCGCTTGAGTACACTCTCCAGGTTCTCCAAATGTTCTTCATCGGTTTTGCCTGTGACAATCATGTCATCAAGGATGCACTGGGTCCCAGGTATTCCCTGTAATACCTGGTCTATGGCACGCTGCCAAATGGCTGGAGACGAAGAGATGCCAAAGACTAAGCGATTGTATCGAAAAAGGCCCTTGTGTGTATTAATCGTAAGGAGTTCCTTGGATCTTTCGGTTACTTCCATCTGGTGATAAGCTTGGCGAAGGTCAAGCTTGCTGAAATGTCTACCGCCAGCCAAATTTGCAAAAATATCCTCTATACGTGGCAGAGGGTACTGTTCTGCAAGAAGTACTGGGTTCACTGAGACCTTAAAATCGCCACAAACTCGTACCGATCCGTTTCGCTTGACTACCGGGACAATTGGGGTCGCCCATTCACTGTATTCTACTTTAGAGAGAATACCTTCCTTCTCTAAGCGTGTCAATTCTGCTTCTACTTTGGGGCGGAGTGCGTATGGCACTTGGCGTGGTTTATGAAAGCTGGACTGGCAGCCTTCCTCGACCTTCAAATCCGCCTTGTAGCCTTTAAGTGTGCCCAGATTTTCGGAGAATACAGACTCGTACTTCTGTAGTAGCTGATCCACTTTGCGTGCCATACCCCCTTCTGAAGTCTTGCTAAGCTTAAAGGTTTTGATTTCACCCCAGTTCAGTTGAATGTTGGACAGCCAGTCACGCCCAAACAGTGCTGGTCCCTGCGTCTCAACAACTTGTAGGTTTAACTCTTTTTCCTGGCCCTTGAACTTAACATTACATCTCATCTCTCCCTTAGGTGTGATTTTCTGCCCAGTGTATGTCTTAAGTGTCACAAGGCTCTTTGAAAGTTTGACATGATTAAAATGTTCCTTATATTGTTTGTATGGAAGTACAGACACCGCTGACCCTGTGTCTAGTTCCATCTTGACCACCTTTCCCTGTATTTCGGGGTTGACCCATATTACGTGATCCTTGTCACCCACATTATTAACCTCAAGGGATGCCAAATAATCATCGCTGTCCCCGTCATCGCTGTCTACATAATTTACTGGGGGTTGGGAAACTTGTGTCTCTTTTTTCTTTGATTTACAAGCCCTCACAATGTGACCAGTCTTGTTACAGTGGTGGCATTTTTCTTTCTTGAATGGACAACTTTTGTGATCATGAATTCCCAAACAGCGGTAGCAACTTTGATCACCCGTTCTCTTGGGGGAAAAAGAACCCTTTTTCTCTGAAAGCTTGGCTTCTCTCTTGAATTTAAGCTTCTTGCCTGGCTTTGATTTGGCTAATAGATCGATTGATTCTGACGCTTTATTCCCCTGGAGAGCTTCAACATCCTTGTAAGATTGCTCAATAGCTAAGCACTTTGCAACAGCAATGTCAAATGTTAGTTCCTCAAGCTTAAGTTTCAAAAGCTCTGACATCATTCTCTTATCTCGAATACCCGAAACCAGTCTATCTCTAAGCCTTTCCAAACGCATGGCGTCGTTAAATTTGCAATCCATAGCTAGATGTTTCAAAACAGCAACATATTGACTCACCGTTTCTCCTGCGTTACGTGCTCGGTTGTCAAACTCATACCTGGCTACTAAAGCAGACTTCTGTGGCTTCAATTGTTCGCGGAGACGCTCTACGATTGCGTTGTACGTGAGAGAATCTTCTCCTAACAAGGTCGGAGCCATCAAATCTTTCGCCAGTTGGTACGTTTCAGTGGGAAGATTGGTTAACAGGATGGCTTTCTTCTGTTTCGCGTCGGTCACTCCATTGGCCACGAAGAAGAATCCTAACTGTTCTGTATACGCCTCGAAGTCAGTTCCCACAGTGAACTTTTGAACTTTTCCGATGTTACGAACTGGATTTGGTGCCGTATTTGCATCGCTGGCCATCGTGGACGTTATGTGGATTTAGTTTAGGGATGTCTTCACTTTTAGCAGCCCAAAAGGTCCCTTAATATCCCAATCCTCGTCGCCAAAATTGTCATGTATTACTTAAGAACTACACACCCCAAACAACATGGCGGTTCGGTAAGTAAAAGACTGTTTAATGAAGCCTCATGCGTGCGCATGAGCAAACCATATATGGTAACACACAACATACAACACACTGGAAAACCATAAGACACGCACTTTGGAACCATAATTTTATAAATATGTCAACACTGGCAAATACTGCTAAAATCTACACTCTACTAAACTCCATGTACCACAATATCCACACAACTGCGTGTGCCTACTTGAAAATCCTAACCCTAACCCTAAAACTATCCAGTTAGCCTAGTATTGTATTGCTGGTTTGAGTGACTAAACTGGCTCAAATGATCCAGCTGCTTAAAAATCTAAGCACAGAGTAAGTTTAAAAGATTCAATTTTGTAAGGTTTCGAAACAGTTCCAAAATTAACATGCACATAGCTCAGTGTAAAACATCGAAGCTTCTAGGACTCCTTATGATTCCTACGAACGTACACACCTAATGCACGTCAATTTGCCTTTTTTTTCCTCGAACGATCACGTCTTCATGGTAACGTGGTGTAAGAACTGTACAGCACTTTATAAATATATGTTTTACTTGACGGTAAAAGTTTGAATCCGTACAAGGAAACGTAACGGAAACAGGCGATGATAATATTCCGTTGACAGAAATGCAACGGAAACGTGTCGTCATATTTCCGTTCAGGAATCATAACGGAAACATAACAGGTCCAAGGAAGAAGTGAATGATGTGGAAACATAGAGTTTCATTTTTCCGAATTACGGAATCATGCTATTTCGTCCTGTGCTCACTCTAACTCTGTGCTATCCTAAACCTAACCCAAACCCCAAACCAATCCTAAGCTATGGTAAAGGGTTTAAGTCAGGGTTGAGGATAGGGTTAGGGCAGGAGCCCATTACCTGGTTAGGGTTAGAGTTTGGGTTGCTTCGGTTCAGAGGGGTTTAGTGTTACAATCAGGGTTAGGGCTAGGGTAAAATTATGCTTAGAGTTAGCGGGGTTTAGTGTTAGAATTAGGGTTAAGGCTAGGATGAGGCTATGCTTAGGGTTGGCGTTAATATGTTTCTACAAGCATTCAATTGCAGGGTTTTTGGTATTGTGTTTGTAAATTTCAGTAACTACTTGAAAGTTTACTGAAAAACAAACTATAGGCCGACTGGTACACTTACAGGATAGATAGAGAAGGTTGGGGTTAGGGTTAGGGTTAGGATTAGGTCTAGGTTAAGGGCTATAGGTTAGGGTTTAGGGTTTAGGGTTAGGGTTTAGGGTTATGTTGTGGGGCTAGGGTTAGGGTTAGGGTTTAGGCTTAGTGTTAGGGTTAGAGGGTCTGCGGTTGAGGTTAGGGCTAGGGTGAAGGTTTGGGGTTAGGGTTTGGGGGTAGGGTTAGTGTTTAGGGTAAGGGTGTAAGCCTCTTCAAAAATATTTTTAAGAAGATTTTGTCACCTTTTTCACTTAAATAACCACCTCAAGAATTTTGACCAGTTAGATTATTTGAAGTGGTTGGATTAATTTTGATTGGGGTTTAATAACTTTTAGTAGTTGGATGATTATTTTTACCAGTTGAACCACTGTAATATGCTGGATCTTTTTAACTAATGTTACCATCCTTACCTGAATTATTTGAACCAATTTCACTGGTTACACATGCATTATCCAGTTAGACCATTTCAACTGGTTGGATTATTTAAACCAGTTTGTCCATTTTAGATATTAGCATCATTTTATCAAGTTGGATCATGTTAACCAGTCGCACCATTTTACTAAGTGAGATCGTTTCTTCCGATTGGACCATGTCACGTATTTAAAATCTTTTCACCGTTTAAACCATTTTATCTTGTTTTGGCTGGTTGGACCATGTTAACCAGTTGCATCATTTTGACTGGAGTGAAAAGTTCCGTTCTTAACTCCGAGCCCTAACCCTAACCCGGGGTTAGGGTTAGGGTTAGGATAGCTTGCAGTTAGAGTCAGAGTTAGGACTTTGGTGCGGGTGGGATTACGATAAGGCTGAGGGTTTAAATTTTTTTCTGAAAGCATCCAATTTCTGTTTTTTGGCATTGTGTTCGGCTGTAAACTTAGCAACTACTTGAAAGTTTGCTTAAAATCATCATCATCTTCATCCATTATTTGTCATAACTTATATCAAACTAGAAATTCAAGTAATGAAATGAGGGTACTAGCCCTTTAATAGTGTTCAAAATTTCCATTTGCAGGGGTACCTGTTGCTACTGGAGAAGAATCGTTCTTTAACCCTTACCCCCCTAAGGGAGACAATAAGTACAGATATCCTCTTCCCTAGGGGGCAACTAGCTCAAAAGTGAGTGATCTCGGGGACTCATCGAAAAATTTTTCTACAGCAATAACTAAGCTCTACAGAAGCACACAATGGAGACAAAAGTTGTAAGAGAATCAATGTGTTCTTTAATTCTTGGTCCCCCCCAGGCCAACCTGTTTCATCAGTCAATTTTTCAAGCTTCAAGCTTTTCCAGCAATTATGTACTTGTTCTTGAAGCCGAAAATTAACAAGGTTCCTGTCAATTAAGTTTACATGACAAACTAACAATTTGAGAAAGTCACACAAATCTCAAGCTATATCTAGGGTTTTGCTCTCAATAAAATCAACTTTTAGAGCAAATTGGGATTTTACCTTTGTGCTTGTTTTTTTTTCGTTACTTTTTAAATAGATATGTATAAATAATGCTCCCGTGACTCTCCCTAAAAACATTCAGAACAGATGCAAACTCTTAAGAAAGATCAAGCTTTACCTTATTATTATAAATTTTTACATCATGAATTACAAAGTTATCACAGAGGTTTTTTTGTATTTTGACGTGTTTAACGCCTAAAAAGAAGTGCACATACATACTTCACACAATCAGCCCAGTCAAAATGTGCCGCAGCCGACAATTTGGCCGCCTACAACTGCCACTTACTTCACACTTGTTAGACTTCTATTCAGGACGAGGTTCAGCCTCTGCTGCCTGGTACTATTGCCAGCTTGCCTTACGCATACATACATACATGTGGGATTAGGTTACATGTGTAGACCTGCACTATTGAAAGAGATCAATGAATCATAACTCAATGAAACATTGATAAACAAAATAGATCAATAGAAATAACAAAAATTAAACTTACAGCAGGAGAGTACTGTTTTGCCTTCTGGGCCTGATCAGTGCAGTGATCTTTGATTAAGTGCCTACTTTGACTGATAAAACCAAAGCTTGGTATAGTTGAACATTACTATTTTTATTTTAATATTACTTTTCCAGCTGATGTATATTATTTGAATTACAAATCTTATTCGCGTGTTAAAATCACCTACGGACAAGGCATACACTTTGTACCAAAATTGCTTCACATCAAGTACATTATCTAGTGCGTCATAACCATCGTCAGGTATTTCTAAGTTACTTCTGAAAATCACACAAATCATAAACTATATACAGCATACAATCGGCAGCAAATTATAAGAAAGGAATGCAGTAATCTTTAATAATAAGATTACTAAGCAGCTAAATAACAAATAGCCCAGTCAAACTGTGCTGGTAGCCGGAGATTTGGCTTTCCACACAGAACATTTGTTAGGCGTCTAGTCTGGACAAGGTTTGGTCTCTACCTTCTGTTACTATAGCCAGCTTGCCTACTTCTAAAAAACGTTTTGACTAAGCTGAAAAAAATGTTTGAGAGAAAAATGGCCACAACAAGCCCACTTACTGCAAAATAAGAAACATAAAAGTAACACTTCAAATTAATACAGAATATAAGCCTTGCAGGATTTGGCTCTCAATAAAATTAGTTAAAATAGCCGATCTTGAGTTTAACTACTCACTCAAAATGGGCTGACAGCCTGCAATTTGGCCACCTACAATGAAGTATCTTCCACTGACTTTACACCTTTCAGACTGCTTTTCAGGATGAGGTTTGGCCTCTGCTGCCTATAATTACAACAGCCAGCTTGACTACTACTAAAGAACATTTTGACTGGGCTGTGCAAGTGTTACTAGCATATAAAAAGCACCTTCAGGTAGATTACAGCAAAGCAGACTTTGTACCAAAACACTTTGCATTAAGTACATCATTACCCTCTACAGGTATTTCTAGTTTACATGTGAAAATCCCACAAATCTCAAGGTATATTACATCATACATGTTGACAAAGCAATCAGGGGTACATTTTTCATAATAGGATGCAATGGTCTTCAGTATCAAGATTATTTGGTACCTAAATAGTAAAATGTTCGAGAGAAGAAATAATCATAAACATTTACTACACATTTTTTTCTCATCAGCATCGACTTCCAAAAGTAATGGATAATGACCACCTAAAACAAAGAAGAAATAAATCAAATTTTTGATTTCACAGGGCTTCAATACGAAACAACTATACATATCTTTTATTTCCTACCACTTACAAGTGGCAGGAATGGCTGAAATGGCCTTCACGTGAACACAACAGAATCCTATGCGTGTATAACCATGTAGAACTATTTATTCGGTATCGAAATTACATCCCAAATGTCATGATATTTGACTGAAACTCAGCTTACCCATCTTTCGTTTAGACTTCGAAACTTGCTGCTTTTTACCACCGTTTCAATGTTTTCTTGTTGTTCAAAAGGTGGTAGGGCCATTGCAGACCGTGATTTTTTTTTACTTGAGAACCAGATCACAACACCCAAGCCTTTTCACGCTAAATATTAAACTACTGAGATTTCCTTCGCCGCCGTAAGCCGCCATTTTATCTTTCCCTGAATACTAGTTCCCAAGCTTCGAGCCCGAAGGTCTCAGACATGCACTGAAATTATGATATTCGTTATTTCAGGGCCAATTTAGAAATAACGATAATCGTTATTTTGGTGTCGAGATCATGCTGATCACAACTGAACGCACATTTACCCC